CACAAGCCTAATCTCTTGCGACTTGAGTAGGTACAATAAAATGCTCCGAACTGTCGGAAAGTTGTAAAGATGTCGCCTCTCCAAACACAATGTGCCGACTGACCACGCGACAGCCAGGAACCGGGCAACATTACACGTGAAACAGAGCGGTGGCACCTCAGCCCAGGCTCCCCAAGCTCGTCAAGGCGGCGAGAACGGTCCGGCAGGTCGGTAGCAGGTTCACCACGGCAGCGACAGGTCAGGCAGGTCGACAGCAGATTCACCAGGGCGGTGGCAGGTGCGACAGGTCGGCAGCAGGTTTACCAGGGCGGCGACAGGTCCGGCAGGGCGACAACGGACCTGTTTCACCAGGGCGGCAGCGTAGACGCGGCGGCAGGCCCGCTGGGGTGGCAGCAGGTCCCAGGGCGGCGACAGGTTCGGCAGGGCGACGGCAGTTTCACCAGGGCGGCAGCGTAGACGCGGCGGCAAGTCCCAGGGCGGCTCAGGCTCACCAGGGCGGCGACAGGTCCGGCAGGTCGTCGGCAGGTCCGTCGGGGCGGCGACAGGCTCGGCAGGTCGGCCTCAGCAGCAGGCAGTCAGCAGATTCTCGGGGCAGCCCTGGTTGAGGTGGGATGTCATCAGAAACTGCACGTCTGGGCGCCGGTGTCGGATGTCGTACAGACCACGCAGCGAGGCTTTACTGCGCAGCACGCCCTGCTGGCAGCGCAGGAGTGTCGGCAGCCCAGCGGGTGCTTTCGGGTCGCCTTCCTCAACTTCCTTTCGGAAACTGGCGCTCGCCACTCAGGGACTCGGGCGACGTCTCCAAAGCTGGGAGACAGATGCTGAAGTCGATATGATGTAATTTTATGCCCTCAGCTCGGTGCCAGTCATTGTGCTGTTATGTGCAGGTAGCCACTCCTCGCTCTCCTGCACGCCGTCAAGAGGACCAGCCCCGGACCTGCAAAACACATTACCAAGTTTATTAACATAAGGCAACATGAAAACAAATCACTAGGCGATGGCAAGCAAAAATAATCAATGCCCAAAGGTACCTTTTCTTCGATTGCCTTTTCTATGTGCTGACATGAAGCCTCAAAACATGTACCTATGTATTTATGTATTGTTTGCAGGCCTGACTCAGAATTCAGGTGAACCAAGCAAATAACACAATTTTACATTAATATTTTGAATTTGAGTCTGGCATTACTGTTCCATGCACAGGTGCGTCTGCGTATAAAATCATATGAAGTAAATGCATTAGGTTAATAGTCTCAACAAAGAAAAATTAGTAGTAGGTAACACAGGTGGTATAAATAGAAACCAATATATAGACAAGGATGAGCTTGTTTAGTTAGCAAATGTCAATTACATAATTTTTACATTAACAAGAATGGGATTTTCAGCAATAAGCATGTCAGAAATCCTTTTAAATTCAAAATTTGCACCCAAAATTTGAAAGTTTAGATACAGATGATAGAATCTGGCAACAACTAATATTGAAAAGAAGTAACAATAAACTTCAACTTTGCACAAAAGATGTGCCAAAATTTTGGTGAGAAATCACTTGCGCTGAATTTTGAGACATGAAAGCCCCTGACGCATCTGACAGTGTGTGAATTTTTTCCAGTCTGGGAGGTAAGCATAGATTGATTTGTTATTTGATACTATTTAATTTGACAAATAAGTAGTTATTTTCACAAAGCATTAATATTTATAGAAGCTAGCCATTTCCGAAACAATTTACAACTATTCCATCTCCTTCTCATTATCTTTTCAACAATGCTAAGGCATTTTACAACTTAATATGAGTTTATCATGCTTCCTTTGAAAGCCAAAAATGACAAAAAAAGGTTAAACCGGGTTGAACTGAAACGTGGCTGATCTGCCTATGATACTCATGCTTATACAGTTGAATTATTTAAATACCTGAGCTGAACTGCTGAAGCTGGTCATTCTTCATGATCTCTGAGACGACAAGTGTGTGAATGCCACTTATGTGTATGCTTTTCCGATCTTCAAACACATAAAAAGTGATATTATTATCAAATAAACAATATTCAAACTCCGTATAACAATACACGCAACGGCTGGAAAACACTGCGCCGGTGCGCCAGAATTGACAGCATCGCCTGAATCTCAGCGACCAATCAGCTTTCGACCATCCCAGTGACGTCACATTGGCAGCATTTGGTAGCAATTTTCCTCCTATGCCCCGGTAAAGGGACGGACCCCCCCTGCCATAAGCACTGCTCAACCCACGGTATATAGAGAACTAGGTAAAACCGGTTCGAAATTACAACACTAAGGTATTTTGACCACTATTTTCAGCTGACCTTTTAAGTCTAAAAAAGAGAACTAAGCAACAAATTTCGATAAGTTTTATTATTTGTATATATATTTTTGATTCATGATCACAGAGCACGTCATGTGTGAACCTGTGAAGCATTAACGAAAATAAATTGTTGGCTATCTCCGCCATTTCAAAAATTATATATCTTAAAATGCAAAGATTGCTCATGGACAAAATTAATTTTTTACAATCAAAAATTAAAATTGAAGGACAAAAAGTAATATCAAAGGCCGACACTCTTTCATTCAATTTCGAAATTATCATGGTTCTGAGCTGTTCAGCCTACCGGACCTGCCAATGCTCTACCTCGAATTGTCGAGTAATTTCAGTGATGTGGGGCTTCAATCATGGTCAATAAATATCAAAATTAAATTTTCTTTCAGATTATGTCAGTTTTGTTGCTTTTTAAGCGTTGGAAACTGCATTTAGTTGATGTTGAATGCACCACCGCCATTGGTGTCCTTGGTCACCCTGTTCCACTAAATGTAATATTTTTCCAAAACTAGACTATGTCGGTGTCTAAAACATTTACCAAAATTTACAAAAATTTTAACGCTACTACCTATCAAAATGTTGAAGCGCTATGATCTTGGGAAATTTTAGAAATGTATTTACGAATCTCGAACTTATATTTTTTGGGACCGATTACTCCTGAACAAAAACATCTCTATTTGGTAAACTTGTTAGGCATATGCTCTTAAAACGTCTATATCAAAATGAGAATTCAATTTTCTTTAAAAGTCCGCATATCTCATTGCAGTTTCGAAGATGTAAGGTATATTTTTTGGTCTAGAATGAATGATCTTCCATTCTGCTGAAGGTAACACTATGACAATTAATGGAATATTACTAAAAAACAAGACAATGTCGGTGTCTGGTTCAAGCTTAATAATTAACATAAAAGAATTCTCTATCTTTTGATATGAGTCATGAAACAAGATGAACTTGGGAAATTTACGAATTTCGGTATTGAAAACCGCAGACTACACTCAGTTGTGCATTGTCTACTGTACTGTAAATGCTGCTAATATACCTCTGTCGCTAGCAGACGCATGTCTTTGCATTCGATTGGTTGAACGGCATTTCGTTTGCTGATGGAGAACACCTTTGTTTTAATTTGTATTTTGTCATCGGTTATGTTATTTGTTTTGTCTGTTACACTGAACTCTATGATGGGGTCTGTTATTTGATTTATTTTGTTAGGTGAAGGTGGAAGGCACTGTGACTCTAAATAATGGAAGGTAGGTGTTGGTTTGGTACCTTGTTTTTAAAACTTATTTTTTCCTGAGATTTAGCCTGTGCGAGCACTAGGCTGGGTGATTTTGTGTTTTAGATCCTTTTCTGAATTCTGTGGTTCAGTTGAGATTCAAATCAAAATAGGTAAAAGGTAACTAGGCCAAGGCCAAAGGTAGTTGATGTTTTGATTGATTTGTCTTGTAGTTGTGGTAATTATCCTACCAAGTATGTAGTCTGCTCTACCCCAACGGCCAGTTGACAAAGCATGGCAATTTCGACGAGATGTTGTCATTGTCATCGTGGGGTTGTTCAGCTGGTGTGGGTTTGGTGCGATGCGGATTTGGCTTGGTGCAGCGCAGATTTAGTGTAGCGTGGTGCGAGTTTGGCCTGGGTGGTGTTTCACCAGTGATAGTGATAGCAGCACGCTGCTATTACATGTGTCAAACTAGGTTTCCATGGAGACATCAACAAGCCTCATTCACATTGCTCCAACACAACCACAAGTGTGACGTCAGCAGAATAGCAGCGTGCTGCTATCGCCCGTGAAACACCACCCTGGTGACGGACTTGACGGGGTGTCAATAAAGCTGGAGTCACCTTCAGCGCTAGCCAGTAAATGTGTAGATAAAAGGAAGCTGAAATTTAAAAACAATCTAACCTTACCTAACCTTACCTATTGGCTATTAACATACTAACCTATACAGTATACCCTACACCCTACCAACTGACGGTGACGCCAGCTTTACCATAAACCGTAGGTTGTAGTTTAGTAGGTAAGGTTAGGTCAGGTTAGATAATGTTTTGTTCTGTTAAAGACTAGGTAGGCATTTGATTAGATTTAAAAGTGAATTTTGTGTAAATGTCTCAAGAACTGGAGAGTCTAGCGACTTCACAAATGGGTGGCAGCATGTGAGATGCCTGCTATATGAATACCAGAAATCCTTCTCTATGCCTCAACCCCCTGTTCTGGGCTGGGCAGACACTTTCATCCCATGTGGGAAGCTCCCCTAGGAGCATACACGGAGCCAGGTGCATTGTCAGGGGCTGGGTGCCCTGTCCACTGGATGGGCTCAGCCCCAATGACTTGTACCAGGGTGCTTGCCCATACCAATAGCTCCCCCTAATTCCTATCATTCCTCCAACTCTGTAGTCTTTTTGGGCCAAAACTTGAAAGAGCCCAACCCAACAAAACTTTAAATTGATTTTGTAACTTGTGGCATAGTACTTACTATTTTGCCAGTCTGGCAACATCCCGTTACTGCCTTGACTGGCTTTCTTCTCTCTCTGGCTGATCCTGTGTCACAGAGCCACATAGATGAGCAGCTACCCATCGTAGGATGCACACTCAACCTCCTGCTAGTTTCTGAGCCAAGTCGGCTTGACAGAGGGGTATGCTAATGCACAGCCACCTAGCCACTGCTGACTAACAGATGCTGGCTGGGACAGACGCTCATCAAAGGTGTTCCACACGACATGGGCATTCTCGTTCTGCATCAAGCCTCAAGGTGCCTCAGCCAAACGGCAGTGAGAAATAAGGGTTGGAATAAAAGAAGAGGACTGAGGGGAAAATCCATTTACCACAATTTTATCACTGTGGACCATCGCGAATGCGTAGTGTAATATACCTATTAACTTAGCAGCCCAGCACACTCAAGAGATCTTGGAAACTGGACCCCAGATCAGTAGATGCAGACATGCACATGCAGACGAAACACCAGCGCCATGCATGGGGCCCAATCTCACCATGGAAATGCCAAAGCACACAGCTCAAGCCATGCTGCCATCCACATGACGTGCGGCCAGGTATCCATATCAGACTAGATATGTGATATCTGAGTTTTTATAACATAACCATTTGCAATCTTTTGTGGCGATGGAACTTTCTTAGCATAAAAGACCGCCGTTGTGTACCGTGCCTGTGGCCAGCTTAGTCGTTTCCATTGTATGCTTTGTGTTTTTTTAGTTCTGAGCATGTTATCTTTCAACAGGCTCGTTGCTGTCGGCGGTTCTGAAGACAGCGGTTCGATCCAGCTGAAGGACGTCACCTGGCAGGAAGTTGCAGTGTGGTGGCCAGTATCAAGCCACATTGTCCAGAAACCATCACATTATCTCCAGGTCAGAAATTGTGTGAAGGTCAGTAATTGTGTGAACCGGGGGGGGATGGGGGGGCGCAGCTGCGCCTTGGTCACCACTGTGTCGAGTTGTGGACGCCTGGGCCACTGTGTCGAGTTGTGATAGGAAAATCCTGCGAAATTCCTCCCACTTCTCCGTATGTCTCTGCTGCTTTAACACAGGTGTCCAGTCTGTGTCAGTGAGCTGCCAGTTGAACTGGTCAGGATCGACCCGCTGTAAGCACCGGCGTTGAACCGTCGGGCCGGTCGCCGCACGCCACCAAACCGCAGCCCCACGCGGGTAATAATCGGGCTTGGACTTCTTGGATGAGATGTTTATGCACAGGCTAATGTACTGTAATTATGACTGAGTGTGCGACAGAAGACGTTGTGACTATGAGTCATACTCGCCGTGGCTGGTATTTGATGACCGTCGTGACCTGTGACGGTCGCCGTGACTGCTGTGTGACGATCACCGTGACTGTAATGTGACGGTCGCCGTGGCTGGTACGTGATGTTCTCAGTAACTGTTTATATAACGGCCGTCGCGACTGAAAGGTGACGACGTGACGTGACGCGACTCGCTCTGTTACAGGTCACTAGTCGCCGGTGCTCGAGCTGACGGCGTCGTTCAAGGGCTCCACGGTGACAAGCGCCGTCACCGCTGCCGCCGCCGCCGAGACCATCCGACTCCTGGGCCCTGTTTCACGGCAGCGTACTGCAGCGCGCTACGCAGCGCTGCTGTGTTAGTGCGGCGATTGAGACGAATTCGGCTCGACGCTCCAGCGTTGCGAAACACCCGTGTCTATGAAGGATACGCCGATACGTCCCCCAGCTTCAAGCCCTTCCCGCCCCCCCCCCCCCCGCCCCGTCCCAACGGTGTTGTTGGCCGAGATTGGGGTTTGGTATTTTAACGGGCTCTCCGGTGACGTCCCGCAATTTGTGTTATGTAAATTGACGATTATGTCGTCTCATTCTGTCTCGATATGCTAATAAATGATAAATGGGACCGGGGACGGAGGTTGGAAGTAAGGTGTGAGTGGCTGTAACCGGCAGGTTTTGGCGAGCGCGATATTAGTTATCGTGAGCGCGCCAGCTGCAATCAATCGCGCGCTTCTGGCGAGAAAATACTTGCTCTGGAACCTAGAAGTTTGTCGTGAAATCCATGTACCTTTGGATTGAATTATTAGAACATAATTTACTTTCGGTGTCCAGCACTGCAGCTCTGGAAACAGAAATATGGATGTTGGCTGTTTGATGTAGCAAGGGCTAACAATCCGCGTCAAGAATCAAAAGCTGTATGCAAATTAAAGTGAATATATTTCAATGAATTTTTAAATTTTGTGATACAAAACATAAATGTGTCAACTACTGATTACACCCGGCTGCAAACACTGTAACGCTTGCAATGCTGTACGGCAAATAGATAATATAGATTCTCTGGCGGCCGACTGGCGCGATCCGAGGCTGCTGACTGTTGTTGTATAGGACAACACGGCTGAATGGCTACGATCGAGAGTACGGAACGGTGCTGGTGACTGGCGGACCAGCGAAAACAGGAAAGGAGATGAATAGCTCTAGCTCCCGTCTGCGCGCGGAAGGGCGCTGATTGGCGCGGCTCGCAGACTCCATTGGCTCATCAGACTGTTGTTGGTTTTCCTCCTCCCCTCCCACAGGCGTAGCCAGGTAGCTTAGTTGTGCGCGGAAGCGAGCGGCCAGAGCGGCGCTAGGTGTCGCCCTCCCAGCGACCGGGCAGTGCAGCTGGACGTGCCGCGAATGGTCCGCCTCTGATCTCGGCAGTCGGCACACTCGGAAGAGAGCGGCCGGACACTCCATGGAGTTGCATAGCGTCGATAGGCCGTATGGTGTCGCTGTCGTAATTATAAAAGCGTAAGTAGAAGGTTGAAGCAAGATATCGAATGTTTTTCTTTACATTTAATATCGCAAAGCACAGCTTTTTGCGCTGGCTACGATATGTGCGCGTCGGTTGCGGCAGTAATCATCGAAGAAATATATGGTTTATGAACGTTTCTTGATCATAAAATGATAAAACATTGCAATGTTTGCCTGTTGTGAAGAAAACTCCTATACTGCCGCTCTATCGTCCGGAATTATTCGTGTTTGATTACGGCGATTCCGCCACTCTATCAGCTGATTTTTGTTTCCGAGTCACGTGACCAACCGGTGTCTCCCTGGCTCAACCGCAGGCACAGGTTTAGACGGCGTTGGTCCGCATCAAAGCCAGTGTGCTGGAGAATTCATTGGCTGAAATACTCCAGAACATTCACCACTGTGTTTTTTATGAAAGGTGGCTACAAGCTCAGTTAAAAGAAAAAGTACCAGATTGTTTTGCTTTTTAATTACAGGCAGGGTTTCGGAGTCGTGGTAGTGCTCATCCGACTCCGACTCCTACTCCGACTCCGGGCTCCTGACCGACTCCGACTCCGACTCCGACTCCGACTCCGGGTCTGATACAAAGGGCAATGGTGGCTGCCAAAATTCCGCGTGATATGACGCTCCATGTTAGGTCTACAGGGTGTCCGGAAAGTCCTGGCGCTTTTCAACGTTTTTAAAATAAATGCCTTTGGTCCATAGATACTCAACAATAGAACAAAACAATGACCAGGAACACCAAGCCACAAGCTTCTTCTAAGTGCCCATTCATTGTAGCCACCGTCTGTGCCGACGACGGCCTCGACGCAAGGGCGGAAACGCCTGCGGGTTTTGACGATGCAGGACATTTCCTGTCCTCCCATGCTGTCATGATGCGAGTCTTCAGCGACTCCAGGCTGGGATGAGAGGTGGCCTAGAGCTTATTCTGCAAAACGCGTAGCATGCCTTAGTCGAGCGGGTTAAGACTGGGATAATAAGGTGGCCTAATCTCATTTCACTACAGTGATCTGGTCCACCGAGCTCCTCTGTCAGTTTGGTTTGGACGGCAGCGGTGTTGTTGGAGGGCGCTCCGTGCTGTTGAAATGCGAAATGACCCTTAGGGCAAGTCGCCTTGATTGTCGTGTCCAGGAACCCCTCGTGGACCAGCCTGTCAGTCATTTATTTGACCTTGACGAAGATGATGGAACATTTGTGTCCATCAGACCCAAATTTTCTTCGATTGTCGCTGAAATGCTGCTTCAGTCTCAGGTGGCTTTGGCATCCCGTGGTCGTAACTGAGTGAGAATATTTTCTAAGAAATTTCCGATCCGGAATGCACCTTTGCCTGCTCAACCGTTCGCTAGGAAACGCCGCATCGCGCTGCAACTCGCGCCTCGTTCAAGCCGCACCGGGCCCGGGCTCTCAGCGACAAGGTGCATCTTCGCCCATATACCTAGCACTGAAAACGGTTTCAGGGTCATATTTACGCGACCCCAAGCTGAGCAGTGAACGAGGGGTCAGATCTGCGGTGATTGGTTGAAAGTCCAATAATCACAACGCGCGTTAGACGACGTCCAAAAGAGGCGCCAGAACTTTCCGGACACCCTGTTCGCGCACCGGGAGATCGCTCCGGTTTCGTCCATGCGGTCACCATTTCTCCCACGTGGACGCAGCTGAATCCTTAGAGACCAGCGGCCGGCGGCCAGCTTGAAAACCCGCCGAGAAGCACGAGTGTGGCCGTATCATGACCACGGGCATCGCCATCATGTCGGTCTGTGTTTGTGTTAGGCACTTTTCGGAGCGATAAAAGAAGAAAGTAAATATACAGTTGTCATTAAGTCTTTGACACTGGATAGTAGAAGTTAAAACGCGAATACAAAATGCTTGCCTACTAAATTATGACATAACTTGAAATTTGTAAGATGCAATGTTAGCTTTTCAGAACAAAAACAAGGTGTGTGAAAAATACCTTATTTGTGATCACCGGAAGCGAATTTTACCGTGGGGCCACTGGTTAAAAACAACTGAAAAGTGATAGCACGGATTGACTTCAGTTAACTTTCCGGAGTCGGAGTCGAGGCAGCTGGACCGACTCCGACTCCGACTCCGACTCCTGGCTGCTTACCACGACTCCGGGCGACTCCGACTCCGACTCCGACTCCGACTCCGAAACCCTGATTACAGCTGCAAGAAAGGTGTCCGGATAATTTCGTTACACCCCCTGTAATGTTCAAATGTTTGCTAAATTCGAAATCAGCTCCAAAAACTAGCCTAGAAACATGTAAAACTCGAAAAAGAAACCGAGGTCACCAAAGGTCATTGAGCTGACCTGACCTTCAGGTAACCTTGACACCCACCCTAATGCATGGGACCAGCATCATATCACATGTTTCAACGCTTGAAACCACGTGGAGACTGCAACCGCGCGGCTAATGCGAGCCGACATACGCCGAATCGCGATTCGGGCCAAACATTGTCTCGAGAAATAGGTCACAGGTCAAAGGTCATTTGGGTCAGGTCATGAAATTTTCAGGGTAGGTGTAAAATTGATAAAATCGGGGGCATTGAAAGTTTCGTCGCGATCGGACGGTTTTTACGCGAGTTACTCACGAAAAACCGATAAAGCGCACCCAAAAAGGCAGAAATATGCACATGCGATATACTATACTGCGAAAAAAGTGCATCATTTTTTAACGTCGCCGACAAATTGTAATTACCCTAAGCTCAGGCAGATGTATGGTAGAAAATCCCCCAAGTGAAATACACTACGGCGGAAATAAAATACCCTACGGCGGAGCTCGGTTGCAATTTGTAAATACGCCGCTCGAATGCGGGAGCCGCCGCTTCAACAAACGCCAAACACTACTGCACGATCGAAGACCGACAACAGGCTTATATGAAAACACACTAGGTTGTAATGGCTGGGCTGTCTAGTTTGAAGCAATCCTGGGTTCAATTTAGGGTTGTTTTGCAGGAACGATTCCGGAGTCATTTTGATCTTTCATAATACGATATGGAAGCATTAAGTTCACCATTTTGAGACGCGCCAAATATTTTAATTGTTTTGCGTAAAATTGCCATACATTTTAATATCTTTTGACTTTCGATGACTATGCCGAATCACCATTCACCGAACTGTATCACATAGCATTCCACAAAACCAACGCTGATTGGTAATCGTCTTGTTTGCTTATGATTGCATTACCTAACTATTGCAGTTTATTTGACATAATCGTTGATAGGGAAGCGCTGAAATGGATTATGTGCATAACAGGCAGGGTTGTATACCAATCAAGTCGATTGAATTGATTGATTTGATTCACCGCGTATTTTGAGTTGATTGGATTGAGTCGATTGACTTTTCGAGATGACTGGTTGACTGACTCGTTTGACTTTAGCGACTGGTTGACTGATTTGATTCCCGAAAATTAGAGTGACTCGTATGATTGAGTCGATTGAATGGAAAGTTGAAATAAGTTTTAGTTGACGAAAAATAATTACACCAATTGATGACATCAACGATCACAAAACTACACTGAAAACTGCTTGTCATCACAACTGCAATATGGGGTAGATGGCCAAATAAAGAACAGGGCCTAAACATGAACAGCCAACTTTGACTTTCAACTGCAATAACTGCTCCAATCCTGTGATAGAACCTGGCGATGCACCTACCTACCTTTCTGCACTCAGCAGGAAACTTTTTTTAATCCAGATGATAAAGTGCAAGGCCCTATATACTAAAAAAGTGTGATTAATTACTAATTCACATCTCCACATCTCCTCAGAAACAACCCACTGAACTCTATAAATATCTGAAACCCCTACAAAAATAACTGAAACAAAAGCGCCGTTTTCGTCTCGCTAATTATTACATTAATAGCTAATTTGCTGCATTGTTTAATTTGCAGCAGAACGTTTGTTGATCCTTTTCTCCTGAGAGCCTAGGCAAAACATATTTAATATATTTCATTTTCCTTAAA